GTTTAACAGCTTAAAGTATAAGGGCCCAAATAAAACGATCAAAACTATAGGATCTAAGTAAAAATCAATGAAAATTATATATAAAGACGTGCAAATATATTTTTCTTAAAATTTAATTGAATATATAAACTTCATTTAATTTTTTTAATTCAAAATATTCCTAACAAAGATAACATATTGAACTAAAACTTACGTTTTGAAAATAGGGGAAATCCGTTTAATCAAAACAAAATCCGGTCATGACTCGTGCAGATAACCTCCTGACTTTTGAAACTTAACATTAAACCTTTGAAAACTTCTAAACTAACCCAAATAACCCCTTATCTTTAATTGGTCCACTATTTTACTAAAACAATATACAGTAACTCTAAATTTGCGCAAAAGGAATGAAGTTAAAGGAGATATTTGGTTAATAACATATTAAACTTTGTTAGTAAAATAATAGAATAAAATTATTTGCAGTAACTCTAAATTTGCGCAAAAGGAATGGAGTTAAAGGAGATATTTGGTTAATAACATATTAAACTTTGTTAGTAAAATAATAGAATAAAATTATTTGTCAAGTTTTAAATATACATGGAGTAATATTTCTGTGAGTGGAAGTTTAGGAGAGTTTTCCCCCCTCATAATTTAGTCCAATTCAAAATAAGTTTCCCTATATCTTTTCTTTTGACCAATCATAATCAATTAACTAATAGAATACATTACATTTCTTAATTGATGAATCATAACTCACTATCTTGCATATAGTAAAACCATCATGTAACAGTTATGAGTATAAGAATTAATTTTAACACAACTGCGGTGGGCGAAAAAAGACTGGTTTATTTTTATACATTTAGTAACAATAACAGTAGCTATTCATTAAGAGACACTGGTAATGACTAAACTAAACTAAACTATCAGAACTTCCACTGGTGATCGCATGAAACACAAGTAATTAACATAGTTCGTTATATAGTACATCAATATTAGGGATACAGAAATCCTACATCCAGAAATTATAAGACAGAATATGAATAAGGTTTGGGATGTCTCTAATCAAAGCTATTCTGGAGAAGACTGCATGTTATCAAAAGCCATTCAATATGGGAAAGATGAAGAGGGAACAAAAAAAAAACAAAAGGATTGAAAGAGCTTGGAGAAGAAGAAAATTGAATAGAACATGAGGCCTCTAAAACTTAAAAAAGGTACAAGCCTAATTAAGAAGAAATGGGAAAAAATAGTAAAAAAGAAATTATTAAAGATAAAGAAGTTCCACATCTTGTGTCTAACCAAATAGCTTAATTAAGCTATTTTGGTGAAATCGATTATTATTAAGTATAATTAATATAAAGAATTTAACATTAATCTTATATTGAAAAGAGTTTTTGTATGTTATAGCCTAATTCAAAATAAATTTACCTATATCTTATCTTCCAACCAATCATATATAATCAATCAACTTATAGGATGTATATAAGTATGACATTTTTCAATTGATCGACCAATCACAAATCTCTATCTTGCATTAAAAAAAAAAAAACATATATAGTTCTGAGTACAAGGATCCAACATTTCAATACTACAGGGAAAAAACGCACCGATACATATCGATGTCAATTTGTATCAAATAATAATGATAGTTCTCCAATGCGAGATACTATATATGCTAACTTTGCTAGCAGAACTTCCAACGGTTATTGCATGCGACACAAGTAACATAGGCCGTCATAGGTTCATCAGCACTGCGAGTCTGCATCTGGTAATACGTGCACTCTCTTTTCCCACATTTCTTGCAGAAGAATTGATCAGTTGTGGCTTTTAGTTTCTGTCCTCTCTCACACTCAAACAAGGCTTTCCTTTTGATCTTCTCGATCTCCTTCTTCCTTTCATCACTAGCCATGTCTTCTGTTCTCATGTAGACGAGCCTCTCTGGCTCGATTTCTCCGAGCAGAACCCTTCTTCGAAAATCTGGATTTTTCGGATCCTTGAGGTTGAACATCAACGACCTATACCTGATCTTTTGAGGCCCCTTAAAACAACCCCAATTCTGAAATAGTGCAGATTCCACTTCTGCAGAGACCCTAATCGGGTCACATTCTTTAACTCGATCCACGGTTGCTTCATCATCTTCATCATCAACCTCCCCAGAAACCCTAGAGAACGCCTCCTGCAGGATTTCCCTCAGTCTGTCCCGTGTTGCATCGTTAGATTTAATCGTAGTTTTCTTCTTTGCTGCTTCAGGATCTTGCTTAACAGTTGATGCAGAAACAGTTTTCTCAGCTCTGACACGTGAATCTTGTACCTTAATCTTTAGCAGCGAATGATCAGTCCGATTCTGAACCTCGTCTTCAACTTTTTCTTTCTTGTTTTTGTTTATTTCCTTGATGACTATGGCTTTCCAAATCTCGACCACGCCCATAGCGAAAGTTCGGATATTTTTTCTTGGATGCTTCGTTAGAGCTCTGACATGTTTACCCACCTGGGTGGATACAAGAGTTTGATAATCGACAGGAAATTTCTTGAGCTGCTTCAGAGCATCAAGGCATCGATTTTCTTCAACTTCGCTATTATTGGTTGAAGACGCCGCCGCCACGTCCGCCGCTTTCTTCACCGCTTCGTACAGTCGGATCAATTCCTTCTCCATCGAAGAACCCAAAAGAGAATTTCCACGACTTCTGTTAACGTTTCTTTGTGACGATTATAAGAAGATTACTGAGCTTTTCAAGGCCCTATCAATTTCTATCAAGGCCACTATTTTAAACAAAAATTTGAGCTATTGAAATCCAATTTGAATGATTCATAGTATTGGAAATTACAGCTTTTTTAAGATTAAAAAATAAATGATGTTTAGATAATTTAAAAAATTTAGAAAAAAATATTTATTTTGTAAAGATTTTATAAAAAAATAAAAATTATTTATATCTGGTTATGATAATAAAAAATAATTATTTTAAAATGTTATAATATATTCCTGTATCTCGCAATTTTAAAACATTCATATTTATTTATCCCATCAAATTATTTTCAAAGGTTACACAAAGTAACTTTTTTAAAAATTATTTTTTAATTTTGATTATTTTTAAAAGTTTAAATAAAATAAATATTTAAATAATAATTGATTTTTAATAAAATAAGCTTAAACTAATCGGTCCATAATTTATATTTTGTAGTTATAATTTAATCTGGAGTTTATTATTCTAAGCTAATTTAAATTTAACTTATTATTTTAAGTTAAATATTAAATATTATTTATTAAAATTTGTCTGGTTGACATTTCTTTATGATAATTAATGGGATACGATGAATTTGTGTGTTTGGATTTGGCAAAGATTGAATCAGATTTCATCGCTTCGCACAGTTGGATAAATTCGGGATAGCATTCTCTCCTATCCCCTGCGCATCTTCTTCCCCCTCCTCTTCCTAATTTTGATCCACAAGATTATAAGATTTAGACAGTTTAGATTTGATTAATTTCATTTTATTTTTTACTGTAATTTTAACTGTTTATAATAAATTTTGGCAGTTTGAAGTTTATTATTTATCTTTTTTGATAATTTAACATTTTAAAATAATTTTATCAGAAATCAAATCTAAGATATTGAAATAATCTTGATGTAATATTTAGATAAGGAAAATGAGGAAAAATGATAGAAAAGGAAGAGGAGAGGATCCTACTATTAAATTAATTGAACAACGTAAAAATTGGTTTACTGACTTAAACAGTTTTTTTTTAGGAACACTTTTTCAAATTTATAAATAATATGTTTTTAATTTTTAAATAATATTATATATATATACACGCAACAATATTTTCCCCAATTTCTTATTTTTGATTTATTAATAATACAATAAACATATAAAACAAAAATTCATTATTAAATTCATAATAATTTTAATTTGAAACATAAGAATAAAATTTTAAATTAAATAGTTTGAAAAAATGTAATAGAATTTATTTTTTAAAAATAACTCCGTGTTTGTTTTAATACATTAGGTAACAATCATAACAATAGCAATCCATTAAAAGACACTAGTAACAACTAAACTAACACAACTTCCACTGGTGATTGCATGAAACACAGGTAATTAACGTAGTTCATCATAGTTCATCAACATTAGAGATAAAGAAATCCTACATCTATAAAATTATAAGATAGAGCATGATCATAAAAGGTGTTATAGTTTTGTAATAATGACAATAGTTCTATTAGTTAGTTTATTTTAGATTTAAATAGTTGTTATTAGGATTTAGCAGTTGGGGAGTGTGAGTATTGAAACATATAAATACCGAGATACTTGACTTGTAATCTCTCTAATGATCAGAATAGTATTATTCAGAATCCCCCAGTTTCGCAATTCCTCTCAACCTCTCTTTCTCTCTAATTCCCTCAGCTCCTCTCAGTCTCTTCTCTCAATTTCTTTTAACCCTCCTGTTCTTCTCTCCAAAACGGCTTAAACCATTTTGGAGAAGACTAGCTAGTATCAAGAGCCATTCAATCTCGGGGAAAAAACCCAAAAAAAAATCTGAGGAAAAAAAATAATTATGAAGAGAATAAAAAGCAAAGAGATTGAAATAGAAAGTGAAGAAAAAGAAGAAGAAAATTGAATAGCACTTAAAGCCTCTGAATTTTTTTTTAAAAAAAAAGGTGCAAGCTTAATCAAGAAGAAGAAAATGGGGGAAAAAAAGTAAGAGACCAAATACTAAAGATAAAAAAAATATCACATCTAAAAATATATATATTTAATTAAATGACTTAAGTTATTTTGGTGAAACTGACTACCAAGCATAATTAATATAAACAAATTAACAATCTCATATTGTGAGTCTACTTCAGGAAAATGTTTATAGCCTAATTCAAAATGAATTCACCTATGTCATATTTTTGAACCAACTTATAGGATGTGTATAAGTATAAAATTTTTCAATTTATCATTCACAACTCACTATCTTGAATAAAAAAAATTATCTGTAGTTCTGAGTACAAGAATCCAACATTTCAATACTACAGGGAAAAAACGCACCGATACATATCGATGTCAATTTGTATCAAATAATAATGATAGTTCTCCAATGCGAGATACTATATATGCTAACTTTGCTAGCAGAACTTCCAACGGTTATTGCATGCGACACAAGTAACATAGGCCGTCATAGGTTCATCAGCACTGCGAGTCTGCATCTGGTAATACGTGCACTCTCTTTTCCCACATTTCTTGCAGAAGAATTGATCAGTTGTGGCTTTTAGTTTCTGTCCTCTCTCACACTCAAACAAGGCTTTCCTTTTGATCTTCTCGATCTCCTTCTTCCTTTCATCACTAGCCATGTCTTCTGTTCTCATGTAGACGAGCCTCTCTGGCTCGATTTCTCCGAGCAGAACCCTTCTTCGAAAATCTGGATTTTTCGGATCCTTGAGGTTGAACATCAACGACCTATACCTGATCTTTTGAGGCCCCTTAAAACAACCCCAATTCTGAAATAGTGCAGATTCCACTTCTGCAGAGACCCTAATCGGGTCACATTCTTTAACTCGATCCACGGTTGCTTCATCATCTTCATCATCAACCTCCCCAGAAACCCTAGAGAACGCCTCCTGCAGGATTTCCCTCAGTCTGTCCCGTGTTGCATCGTTAGATTTAATCGTAGTTTTCTTCTTTGCTGCTTCAGGATCTTGCTTAACAGTTGATGCAGAAACAGTTTTCTCAGCTCTGACACGTGAATCTTGTACCTTAATCTTTAGCAGCGAATGATCAGTCCGATTCTGAACCTCGTCTTCAACTTTTTCTTTCTTGTTTTTGTTTATTTCCTTGATGACTATGGCTTTCCAAATCTCGACCACGCCCATAGCGAAAGTTCGGATATTTTTTCTTGGATGCTTCGTTAGAGCTCTGACATGTTTACCCACCTGGGTGGATACAAGAGTTTGATAATCGACAGGAAATTTCTTGAGCTGCTTCAGAGCATCAAGGCATCGATTTTCTTCAACTTCGCTATTATTGGTTGAAGTCGCCGCCGCAGCCACGTCCGCCGCTTTCTTCACCGCTTCGTACAGTCGGATCAATTCCTTCTCCATCGAAGAACCCTAAAGAGAATTTCTACGACTTCGTATGTTAAACTGAAGCGTTTCTTTGTGACGATTATACGAAGATTACTGAGCTTTTTAAGGATCTATCAATTTCTGTCAAGGTCACTATTTTAAACAAAAATTTGAGCTATTAAAATCCAATTTGAATTATTTATAGTTTTAGAAATAGCTTGTTTAAGATTAAAAAATAAATGATGTTTAGATAATTTAAAAAATTTATAAAAAGATGTTTATTTTGTAAAGATTTTATAGAAAACATTATTTACATTTGATTATGATAATAAAAAAATAATTATTAGTTAGTTATTTTAAAATTTTATAATATATTCCTGTATCTCGCAATTTTAAAACTTTTATTTTTATTTATCCCATCAAATTATTTTCAAAGGCTACAGAAAGTAACTTTTTAAAAGAATAATTTTTTTGATTCTGATTTTTAAAAGTTTAAATACGTTAAATATAAAAAATCATAAAATAATTTTTTTAAATTAATAATTGACTTTTTTTATAAAATAAGCTGAAACAAGTAGATCCTTAGTTTATTTTTTATAGTTATAATATAAGCTTGAGTTTATTATTCTAAGTTAACTTTAATTTAACTCATTATTTTAAGTTAAATATTAAATATTATTTATTAAAAAATTTCTGGTTGACCTTTCTTTATGATATAATTAAGGGGATATGATGGATTTATGTATTTGGATTTGGCAAAGATTGAATCAGATTTCATCGCTTCGCACAGTTGGATAAATTCGGGATAGAATTCTCTTCTATCCCTTTCCCATCTTCCTCCCCCTCTTCTTCCTCATTTTTATCCACAAGATTATAAGATTTAAAACAGTTTAGATTTGATCTAATTTTATATTTTTTACTGTATTTTTAACTTTTTATAATAAATTTTGACAGTTTGAATTTTATTAATTATCTTCTTTGATGATTTAATATTTTAAAATAATTTTATTAGAAATCAAATCTAAGCTATTCGAATAATCTTAATCTAATATGTAGAAGAGGAAAATGAGGAAAAATGATAGAAAAGGAAGAGAAGAGAACCCTACCATTAAATTGATTTAAAAAGTAAAAATTGGTTTACTCACTGAAACAGTTTTTAATTTTCTTTGCTAGGAATATTTTTTAAAAATTTATAAATAATATATTTTTAAATTTTTTAAATACTATATGCATAAAAATTAATATTTTTCCCATTTTTTATTTTTATTTATAAATAATACAATAAATATATAAAACAAATATTCAATGATTAAATCATAATAATTTTAAATTGAAACATAAGAATCAAATTGTAAATTAAATATTTTGAAAAAATATAATAGAATTTATTTACACAGATTGAATGGTCAAGATCAAGGAAACGGAGGGAAAAAGGAGAAAAACAAGAGGGAGACCCCGCCGCCCCTACCATGTGATGGTTTGTTTGAAACAATAAATGTCGAATATATACATGTGGAGGGGGGGGGGGAGAGAGAGAGACAGATTATGACCAATTTATTTCGAATCATGTTGAAAAATTGTTTAATTAAAAATACTTTTCTGTTAATATATTTATATTAACAGATATCGGTATGTTAATTAAAGAAACAAATCAGTAATAAATAAAGTTTAAAACATTACTCGAATAATTTCAATCTTACGTTGGAAAAAATATTCTATATATGTTAATGAATTTTACCTAATTGGAACAATTTCACTTAAAGGGAATTAGTTATGGTTACATAATGTTAGGGAAAATTCATGTAAATCCCGATTAGTTTTCAATGAAATTAAAAAATTAAAGTATAATTAAAAAATAATATTTATTTAAAAAATATACTTATACAGGCCATATTCTTATCAGTTGATCCTTCGTTGGTTTGTTTTATATTAGTTCTAGTAGAATTGGAACAAATAGAAACTCTAATTAGAAGAAGGGTGGGGTGAATCAAAAATAAAAATGAGAGGTGAAAATAATTAAAAGAATAATTAAAAATATTATTGATGCATTATAAGGAATGTAAGAGATAAATGCTAAAAAAATTAAAAAGGAAAAAAAAAAAGAAACTTGCAGCTCAATTGAAGCAATACTTTTGATAAACGATTTTAGGCGTTTCTCTTTTGATAGTTTACAGTTTTTGGAGCCGGTGGGTCGTAGTGGTTTGGCTTTGGCTTACTCTTCGTTTTTCTCTTGCTCTGTTCTTTCTATTTGGCCTCACTAGTTGCATGCTCGTAGTTATGCCAATGGTTTGGTGTTTTTATTTCTTTTATTTACAGTTGTCCTGACTTTTCTGATCATTATCAGTTGTGGAATTGGATTTTGTTGAACGCCCCTTCTATTTCTGATCCCTGACTTCTAATTGATGATTTCGACCACATTTCTGGTCCTAAAGATAAATCTAGTTCAAATTCTTCCCTACCTGATGCTTTAACGTTTTCAAATTTGTTGAATAATTGTGGTTTAATTGATATCCTTCCTTCAAATGATTGGTTTACTTGGTGTAACAATCGTAAAGGGGCCTCCTTGTCAAATAACGTATTGATAAAGCTCTAGTTAATGCCCCTTGGTGTAATTCGTTTTAATCATTATCTCTTCAAATCTTCCTCTTGCTGCCTCATCAGATCATGCACCACTTTTGTTTAGTACTGATAATGATCTTCAGTTCAAGAAAATCTTTCGTTTCGAAAATGCCTACGATCCTCTCTGATTCATTGGAATAAATTTTTAGTTGGCAAAATTTCTTAACGAATTACTTTCCTTGAAAATGCCCTTCATGGTGATTTTAACCAGTCTCTTGATTCTACCAACCTTTTTGATTTGAAAAATGAACTTCATTTTGGTATGATTGTGAAGAATCTCTTTGGGCACAAAAATCTCGATTAAATTGGACTTTGCTTGGAGATAGGAATACAAAGTTTTTTTAATACTATGGTGAATAGTTGTCGAATTAATAGGCATTTAATTAAAATTAAAGGGGAGGATCGCTCCTGGATTTCTTCCCATAATGACTGTCAGCAGAAAGTAATGTCTTATTTTAAATCCATTTTTATTAGGCAAACCTGTTTCCACATATGAAATTGAAAGAGCAGTTTTTCAAGGCTGATAGTTCCCCTTGTCCGGACGGTTTTAATGCCCGGTTTTTCCAACATTTTAGGATGGTCGTTTAGTATTATTAATCAGGTGTCTCACTTTTTTTCCCAATAGATTTCTTTTAAAGGAACTAAATTGTACCTTATTGCCTTGATTCCTAAATGTGAGAACACCAACTCTTTAAAGATTTTCATCCTATCAGCTCAGTCTTTGCAATATTATTTATAAAATTATCTCCAAAGTCCACTGAAATAGGTTAAAAGCTGCGCTTAAAGAAATTATTTCACCAAATCAACGTGCTTTCTTGAAGGGTCGTTTGATTAATGACAATGTTCCGTTAGCATCTGAATGTATGCGTAAACTCCATACCTTTTTGCATGGCAAAATCTGGCTGGTATGCTTTTAAGGGCGATATTGCAAAAGCTTATGATATGGTTTCATGGGAATTTCTTTGCAAAGTAATGTAATTCATGCGTTTTCCCACTTCGTTTATCCAGTTAATCATGCAATGTATATCCACTGTCTCTTATCAGATTTTGATCAATAATGGCTCTCCATCTGAACCTAGTTTCCCTAAGAGAAGTAGACAAGGAGATCCACTGTCGCATTATCTATTCCTACTTTGTGCTAATGTCCTTTCTTGTATGATTACATAAGCAGATAATTTTGGCTGGTGACAAGGAATCAACTTCTTGGTAATAATTTACCCATTACACACATTATGTAGTTAATGATACCCTCTTGTTTCCAGTGATAATTTACCAAATTACACATTTTTTGCTAAATTGCTTTTTACCAAAGAAAATGAAAGCAACACTTTTTTTTTTTTGGAACTAAAGTCAATAAGTATTGAATATCAAATGATTATAAAGGAAAGGGCCTTCAGAACAAAACCTAAAAGCCCAAGTGAGCAATCCAGCTAACAAAGGCAGTGACAATTACAAAAATACCCGAACGAAGGACAACAACAAACTTGAAAATGAGAACAAACCAAAACCACACATGACCCACTTTGTAATAATTCAAGACATGTAGAGAAGAGATGAATAAGCTCACTATATCGAGACAAGTAAACTTTTCAAAGAAAGGCCAAAAACTAATTTTTTAAAAACTCTACGGGCAAAGAACGCTGATCTCCAAAGAAAAAAGGAAACTAACATATGATAAAATACCTCGTAGGATTTGATAGTCCAAAGCCGTAACAGCTTTGGAGTTTTTAAAATATTTTCTGCATGCACCTTAGTAAGAAGGACATGAGAAACGCAAAGCAGACAAACTCACTGCAAGAAAAACAAGAGATTTGGGACAGAATTTTGTTAGGGAATATAAAGAGTTACAAATGAGTCTCAAATCCATTCCAAATTTTGTCCCAAATATTTGACCTGGATTTTGAAACACCAAATTTTGTCCCAAATAAATTTTTGGGATGCAATTTTGTATGCATTGTGTCCCAATTTATTGTGACAGAATTTGGGACAACAAATAGATGGTATTTCTATTTGAACATTTTGAATTAACTTGTTTGAGTTCTTTTTCTTTATTTCTTTAATGATTTATGAACCTTTCATGTTATATACAAAAACTTTTAAATGGTTACCACAAAATGATGCAAGAATTAAGGTTAATTGGAAGAAAAAGTGTGCTGATATTTTGAGAAAATATATGACTAGAGTTAAGAGTTCAGGTATTAGATTCAAATTGGATTCCACAAATAGTGTGGATAGAATTAGAAGCACAATGGAATAAGCTAAAATGTCATGACAAGAAACAAAAGACTAATTAAGGTGAATCAAGCCTCTTTCAAAGGAGGAATGAAGAATAGATGTAGCAACATTTCTGTATCTAAGTATAATAAAAAGATGGTAAGTTTTCTCATATTGAATAAATATTTTTCATTTTGTAAATAATTGTAGACTATAGAGCTTAAGAGGAAGCAAACAATGACTCAGCTATTTAAGCACACACATCAAAATGAAAAAACTAGACAATTTGACCAAAGGTCAACTAATGTATATGTAAGTATACATATATTTCTTTTTTTTTTTAATTTTTCATTGAGATTATACTAATGGTCAAAGGCTTGACTACCTATTGTGGGAGTCATTTTATCATTGAAAAAATTTTTGTGCTTGATAAAATTATGAGTTAGACTTGAATAAAATTGATATAAAATTGCATCTCTTATTATATTTTCATGAAATATTAAACCTTTCCACTTTAATTTTTTTTATAGTCAAATTGTCAATTTTTAAGTTAAATGAACGCTTATCACCCAATTTGTTGAGTTATAAAATTGAGTTAAATTATAATTTAATTATCTATCTTTTTATAGGAACACTACATAACTTTAAAGTGGTTTAATAGATCCTCTAATCAGGAAGAATTCTCGAAAATGAATCCACCTCTTGAAGAAGTAGAAGAAAAGGACTATGTTGATAATATAAAATTGTGGTTGAAAGCTATTGGTGATGTTAATAGGAAGGGATGCATTTTTTGCATTGAATATGAGACTCCTTCATGTCATGGCTCTTATTCTATAGAGGATGCCTTTTGCCATGGAAGACTTCATCTAGAATTTGAGAATGAGTTGCAAAAGCATGTGGATGCTTTGACAAAGATGAACAAAAAGCTTGAGTCAATAATAAATGAGCAACAACAAGAACTCTAAATTGCCAAAAGAATGTTAAATTTAGGCATATGCTACTTGTGGAGAGTGAAGATGAAGATGATAAAGCTAACTCATGCTTCTATTTGATTCTGTTTAGTGATTATAATGTTCTTTAGCTACTTTAAATGCTTTTGAATGATTTCACTATGGTTGATATTTGAACATGATTGTATCATATTTAAGTACTACATGAGATATTTTGTTCTAAGTTAAATTTATTATAATTTTACTGATTTATATATATAAAATTATTATTGTAGGTTGAGGTTATGAAGTAATAATGGAGAAAATAACAATTAAAATTAATTAAATAAATAATTAATTTTTTGCAACAAATTTGTGACAACATAGCTCTTCACAAAATTTGAAATGCGCTTGATATTTCCTTCACAAATATTAGCAATATTTGTGATGGACAATTCTCCACAAACTTTTGAGATAGATTTATGATACATAATCCATCACAAATTTGGGACGCTTTTGTGACACCAATATTCATCCCAGATTAGGGACAAATATTCCGTCTCAAACTTTTTGTCCCAAATTGCAACAGATTTTGAAATTTCATTATAAAAAATCTGTGACCAACAAAATATCAACGAAAGACTGTCCATCACAAAATATTTTTGGTAGTGATTATTATTGGAATATTTAGTTATGGATTAATATTAATTAATAAGCCCAAACAGATTAGTCTTTATAATCTTGTGTGGACCGTGATAGGTAAACCACACAAGTGAGCCTAATGGGTAGAGGCTCAACCTACAACCCAATAGCCGTCACCCAATAGCCGTCAATTATTCCTTAAATATTAATTGATTGAGTTAGAGATAATAAAATATAATTAATTAATTATTTTAATAAAGGAATTACTAATCTGATCTTTATAAGTTGATCAATCGATAACCATTAAATACACGATAACTTTATCTACTCAATTATCTCTGTACTTTGTGAAGACTCTAAAATTTAATGAATTGTGTGTCTGTTTACAGTCAAGATAATCGAGATATCTCTAAGCGATCATAGATTCTTCAAATACACACGTTTCTTTATTCTATTTTATTTGATTATATACGAATTGAGATATTAAAACAACACTGATTATTACTGAACAAACTAAATAACAAAAAAGAAACACAGGAGCAAGACACGAGAAATTAAAAGACAAAATTCAAAATACTGCAGTGCTTGGCGTTGAACTTCCATGATGCTACAATCCATGAAGTTCCCTCTTATCATCCAGCTAAACGAGGCTTTTTTGGAAAAAAACCTCATCAAACCCAGAAAGCAGTGCCTGCTCTGTTTCACTGTTGCAAAACAGAGCAAGTTTCCTCTTGCTGGGAGCAGAACTGTACGAAACCTCAACTCAATCATTTCAAGCTGCAACAAAACCGAGATCAGCAAAGGAAGAGTTGTTTGGCAATACAAAGGTTGAGGAGCCTCCATCATGGTGTCAACACAAATAAGAAGCAAAACCATCCTGAACAATGCGTGTTGAGTTACGGTGACCTCCATCAAGATTAGTGACATGCATGAAATCATAAAAAGTTTGATCCTACAATACGCATGATGCACATGTATCCTTCGTGCTAGAAATCATGAGTAATTAATGGCTCTCTCGTATTCCTGGGAAAATGAGAAGTATCTGAATAAACAATGAACCCAACGTCTGCAAATACTGAATCATAAGACGGCAGGACAGATATCGCAGTTGCTACTCTAGGAAACATACAACAAAAAATTAACCAATGTTTGCGTCTTTTACGGGCCAGAGCCTCAACAAGCAAGGAAAACTCCAACAAAATTTAGTGAGAATATCCCAGTAACCGTGGTTTCCAAATCATCTGTTAAAGGAAATTTCAGGGCCATTATTAAGCTTGGTGAATTTAATTGTCTTGACAGACTGATATGGAGAAACAACTTACAAAATGTCAGCCATAAATTTTCGCTTTGATGTGACAATATGGATCATCAAAAGAATATCCTTTACATCACGTGAGAAATACTTGAAATAGTTGAGTACATTAAAGTTGATGACCACTGACTTAGCATTGCCTTAAATCTTATCCTGAAGATATTTAAGTGTTTCTTTAGAGTAATGATGATCCTCAAATTTGGCAGCTTTATAGGTCGTATGGTCTCTTAAATTCAAACCCATCTTGTATTTCCCAAGTTTTTCTTTTATTCGCAGCACTGTGTTTTAGACATGGCATGAGTTAGCGACTCCAACACATCTTCAACATGCAAGCTGCCACGTGATAGGGAAGGAGATTGGGCAGGACAAAGCCATAACAATTAGAACAAAACCGTCCGACCTGTTCTAGTTCAATGAAAATATCTATCTCATCACCACACCATTAGGAATCTTAAACGAAAGGCCATTAGAGAAGTTAAGATAATCAGAAAATGAAAGTTTGAAACGAATGTCACTCTGTTGGAACTGAAACTGTGGCAATTAGAACACTGAAATTTGCCAATAAGAGCTGCAGTAGATTTGGTATGTAACTCAATGGGTAAGGGTGACCCAATCAAACGAACACACACATGAAAAGATGTAAAAGAAATCTTAGAAAAACGATTGATATTCAATCCAGGCTGAAACAAAGAGGCGTAGCCTTGTAAGAGAACCAATTTCCTTGATGTAAAATGGAAGCAATACTTGGTTGGCCAAAATAATAGAAAGCAGCGTTGATACAATTATTAATATATAAATTTTGATAATATTTTATAATTAGAGGAGACAATAGAGTAAAAGAAGAGGCAAAACCCACGTTGATAGACAAGTGGGTCCCAAATTTTCTTTTGCTTAATATAAGTTACATAAATTAACATAAACGTTGAAGAAACTATTCTATTCATTCTTCGTGAAACTTTTGCATTTGACAGCAAACTTAGATAAAGTCCCTGTGGATGACCCATATTGTTCTTGAAGTGCTTGAGAAGCAGCAATTTTGAGAGCATTCATTCTATGGTGAATTGCTTCACCTTCTTCACTTTGCATTAAGCTCTTCACAACCTTAGCAATTTCCTGCCTTCCCACGATGGCTTGATCGTTACATTTTGGTCTCAAAGCCACCTTGAGATCATCACTTACCAAAGCAGCATTTAGTTTCTGCTCAGCAAACAGTGGCCATGCTATAAGTGGCACCCCATTAACTACACTCTCCACAATTGAATTCCAACCACAGTGGCAAACATAACCACCTGTTGCCACGTGGCTAAGCACTTGAATCTGAAAGGAGTACAAAGTGTTAATATGTTAATAAAAGTCTAATTATTTCTTTTTAATTATAACCTGAGAGTTTAGGGTTTGGTTGGATAGTGAGAAAAGTAGGAAGAAAATATGGAGGGAAGAAAATTATAAGCAGAAATTTTCAAAAATAATAACTTTTTTACTATTTTTAAAAGCTTTTCCTCTTAATTTTCTTCCTCCTTATTTTTCTCCTCATTCAAGGGTAAAATTTTTGTACTACGATCTACATCTCTTATCTCAGCCCACAAAGTCAAGTTATTTCTATCAAGTATCAAGTTATAAGCTAGTCAATAAAAATAATCAACTTATAAGGAAACTATATCTATAAACAAGTAATTTGTTTATTATTTGTTTTTCTTTTATTTTTCATTGCTCTAGAACTTTTTTATTAGAAAAATATGAATTTTTAAATTATTTTAGGTGTTTTTTTTGCTAATTATTTTTCTTTCTATTTTTCTCCTCATCCAAATGAAGGAAAAGATAAGCAGTTATTGAAATCTTGGCATGTAATTGGAGTCTTTTTGTATTGTTTATTTTTTCACTTGCACTTTAGGTCTTATAATTTCCTGATGTTTGTCTATATATTATGATGGAATATATATGTATGTGTGTATGCAAATTCTTATCATTTTTCTCAATTTTAAATTAGGTATTTGCAGTTTTTTATGTCTTAATTGAGTCCTTATAATTTGATCAAATAAATTTTTTAACTCATAAAATTAAAATCCTTTAATTTTTTTCTTTACAAAGAAAAATTAACTTATATGTTTTTTGTTAAATGAGCGTATAACTTCAGAATAATTTCCATATTTTATAACTGAAAATTATATAATTAAGTTGTCTTTTAAATATTTTTTTACACATATAGAATTTTATAAAAAAATTAATAAGAATGTAAACGTTACATAAAGCAAAATTTCTTTTTTTTAAGAGAAAAATTTATTTTTTTCTTTTGGTTAAAACTCCAAAAGTATTTTTGTTTAGGAAATTTAACATCCTTATTAATTTTAGCCGTCAAGTATTAACATATTTAATTGATCAATTATAATTTCTTGTACTTTACTGCGTTTTCCTATTAATTTCTATACTTTTTTTTAATATTTTTTATCTATGTACTTTTATTTTTTATTATTTTAGATCATTCTAAAATTTTATACTTTATTCATGAAGGAAACATAAAATAATAAAAAATAAAAATATAGAGAACAAAAATAAAAAAAAATACAAGTACCTAAAGTTATTTTTTCTTTCAAATGAATTATACAGACTTAATTTAAAAGTAAGAAAATTATAAGAATTTGCAGCAGATTAGTTTTTCCTATTATAATTATTCTATTCTTCTGCTAAAGTAATCCATTTAATTAAATTGGAAAGGTATCATCTTTCATCCCTAAAAGAAACGGTCATAATTGATGTACCTGAGGTGCCCAAAAAGGAACCCCAAGCCTTGCCCTCGTGTCCTCTCCAAGAAGCCACGTGGCAGAAAATGCAAAGGGTCTTCATTCTCAGCACTAACATCGCAACGGTTGCCAAACCTACTTGGAGGCTTATAAACCATAAGAATTCTGACCACTCAGTTCCAGTCCCATTGCCAGCTCATCCCATTGCTCATGGGAAAGGGTCCCACCACTTCCAAAGCACATATAAACCACTGAGTTAGGGGCCTTTGTCTAGCCATTTCAAAACATTCATGGGTGGATGATTCAGCATTTTGAGTTAAGGGCCCAATTGGGTATACCATTGGCCTGGCCTTTCTCGCAAGGCCTGTAATGGCCCAGGTTCCATTTCCCGAAGGTGT